ATTGAGTAAGTTGTCGTTTGGATGGAACAAAGGCTTGGGCTAATATTTATAGTGGAGCCGAAATTTATATTGAAATTTAAACTCAAATTGAAATTTAAATTCAAACTCTAATTACATATGAAATGAATTTGAAATGTAGTGTTAAATTGAACATGGAAATTGCATAATTGATTCATACTGTTCAAGTAACATGCTTTATGAACCATCAAGCTAAAAAACAATATTAATTGAGTTCAAAGCTGAGTTGTGAGTTGATGGGGTTGTCACACTTGTCACATTGTTGGAATAAAGTACTCACATGGAAGAGATATATTGTTTTGTTATGCACAACCCATCTCATCTGAATGAAAATATACATACAATATAATCAAACCAAAACATACATACACAACAAATTTATACATAACAATGTTCAAATAATGTACCCATAAAAATGAAATTAATCCGATGAAAAAGGGTTATTTCTAACGAAGTCCGAAACATTATTTTCCAAATAATACCCATAACAATGTTCAAATAACGTACCCATAACAATGTTTAATTGATTTGTTGTTTAATTTTCAATATGTATTATGTTGAAGGTAAAAAAGACCTGTTGAAGGTAAACTTTCGCAACGCGAAAGTAAAATTCGCAATGTGAAATAAGCGTTGCGATAGTTAAATTCGCAACGCGAAATTCAAATTCGCGTTGCGATTTTCGGTTTGCGATTTCACGTTGGAATTTGACTATCGCAACGCTTATTTCGCGTTGTGAATTTGACTTTCGAGTTGATCGCAACATACAACATCAAGTTATATACAACATCAAACACATTCCAAGCTATAAATACAAGCTAAGGACACTTGAAGAAGCAAGAGAACAACTATCCAAGCAATCAAACATAAGAGAAAATCCCAACATGATAACAACTGAACAGATCATAGCAATGTTCAAACTCAAGTTACTAATGAATGTCTAACTGAAAATGTATGCATTCACACATAAAATACACATAATAGAACGTTTGCATTTAAAAATCACCAAAGTTAATAAGTCCCAAAAGGTGAAGCCGGTTGTGATTGTGATTTTGATTTCCTTTTGTTTGGCACCATATGAGCTTTGGATTTTGATGAGGACCCATTTTTTGGTAGAGGAAAAGATGATTGTGATGGCACTGGTGATCCACAGGTCAACCTTGTATGACCAATTTTCTTGCACCGACTACATGTCGATATCCTCTTCTCTTCACCCTTAGACGGTATATGATCGTGATTTTTTGGTCGGCCAGTTAGCATGTTGTCCATGACTGGTGGCAAAACTATTTGTAAGTCATCTGATATGTCCCACTCAAAAGGATGTGGACATGGGTAGACAATCTAGACATAAGTCTGTCGATATACTTCTGTAGTGTAGCAATCCATAGCGTATGCGCTTGAATCATATTGGTTTAGATGAGCAACTTTTATAACATGACCACACGGATAACCAGATGTTTGTCATTTCTTACAACTTCACAACACGTTTTGTTATCTTTTTTTCAGTCCATGGTGTAACACGACATTCCAATGTTCCTGTAAATTTAAATAAATAATACTTAGTAAAATATATGATAAGTTACGAATTTAAAGAAATAATACATGCATGGTTTCTTTTCTTGTAGTACCACTGTTGAATAAAGGCTCGAAAAAACTCCATTAACATAGTAATGGGTAATTTCCGGGAATGACGACTTAGAGCGTTGATTGATTCTGCACTATTAGACGTCATGAAACCATATCTTGCTCCAAGTTTATGTACTCTTGACCATCTTTCAAACCTGACATCTTCTAGGGTTTGAGCACGTTGAGGCAAAACACGTCTTAAACAATTTATATGCTTATTAAAATCCACTTCCCGATAAGCTTTTACAACCTTCCAGTATGTCAATTTGTGATTTTTTATACCAGCACACCTTGATTTTAGATTTCTGTACAAATGAACACCACAAAGTCCATGAAAAGCATTTAGGAAACACCTTCTAACAACGTTGTCAATTGATTTTGCCCTATCGGATATGATTGTCAGATTGCTAATAGGACCTATGCAATCCCTAAGATGCCCCATAAACCATGTCCATGAATCAGAGGTTTTAGATTTGCCAACCCCGTAAGCTATTGGCAGTATCCCATTGTTAGCATCCATGGCTACTGCTAATAAGTTTACTCCAAGGTATCGACCTTTCAAATGTGCTCCGTCAACTATAATAACTGGGCGCATACAAGTAATAAACGAACGAATCTACAAAATCATATACACAAGAAATATAATCATTTAAACGTGAAATGCATGCAACTAACAAAATTTGTCAACAAAATTATAATTATTTACTAACCGCAGCACCAATGGCGATAAACATCAACTTAAAACGTCCATCTCTATCTGTTTTGATATAGTTACCGACCCATGATTTTTCATCTTTAAATTGTGAAAATAAGTCGGTAGTCTTATTGTTTGCCTGTTTATGGTGAGGAAAAACTTGAGTTCTTGAACATGTATGTTTATCAATAAAAGTCCTAACTTGAAACATTTCGCAATCTTTTATCCTCTTTGCAATCATACACCACGTATAGTTTTTGTCAATCATACACCTTGTTTCGAAACGATCTTTGCTTGATTTGTTAACTTTTAGTTGATAGACATCTTCCACACATTTCGTATACAAAGTTATCTTCAAGTCTTCCTTTGTATCAAAACAATCATCTTTCTTGATACGAATAACTTTTGTGTAACAATCAACTGCTATCTTTACCAACTCTTCTTCCGGTATCTGAAGTAATTCTGGCATATTCCAGTTATACTCCCGTGGTATTTTCTTCTTTTTCTTTTCTTCGGGGACTTCTTTTTCTTCTTCTTCATGGTTATATGAATTACAGAATGAATGTTCAACATGTTCATTCACAGTCGTAACTTCCTCCTCATTATCATCAACAACATCTTCCTCGACAGCGGCTGTTTCATTATCAAAATTTTGGTATTGACTAATATCAAAATCATTACATGCAGGGTCTGTTTCTTCTTCCATCACATCATCAAAATCCGAGTATTGACCAAGATCAAAGTCCGGGTATTGACCAAGATCAAATTTCGAATACTGACTAGTACTCATAATTTTTTCTGTTGGCTTATAATCGTCTAACTGGTCAATACGAAAACCGGAATTTGGTGCTGAAAATTGATTGAGATTTGGATTAGGAAAAGGTTGTGGGTTTTGAGATTGTGTTTGATATTGTGTTTGGTATTGGAAATGTGGTGAAACAAAATTTTCTTGGTGATGAAATTGTGGTGGAACCATTAAATTTTGAGGTTGATAACAACGTTATACATTGTGAGCACCATAAACTGGGGTTGAAGAACTTAGTTGATTACTACCCGCTACTGACCCAACTTCACTACTTCTAGGTTCAACAACATACAATGTAACATCATCTTCTTGCGAAACACTAATGTAAGTAATGAATCGTTCAACATCTTCATTGTCAGTTAACAAATAAACTTTACCTTTTCTCTGATAAGATAGCCTAAATCCACTTAGAGGCTCTAAATTCAATTTCTTTGCAACACGTAACATTAGAGTTTCATAAGTTAACTTTTTTAATGACAGTTTTAGTTAAAGATTCATGGGTAAAGACACATATTGTAAAACACCATGAACATTCTCCCATGACCCTCCAAAACACAAATCTATCCAAACATGATCAACATTAGATGATTTCATTCTACAAATTGTAAATTAATTTACTAAACAAACGAGCTATAAACTAGATATCATCATTAACTTAGATAAAAACATACATTTATTAAGTTGATAGTTGATAATTTGGGAGAGAAATCATTGAAAAATTATATAGAAATAAAATTATGTAAAAACAAATAGAGATGGGGAAGGATGTCGTTGGATATAGGAACGGATGTCGCCGGAGAGAGTGATAGATGGAGATGGAATGAGTTGCGATTTAGGGATTTAGGTTATGAGTTGCGATTTAGGGATTTAGGTTATGAGTTGCTGCTGCTGCGTTATTATATACAAAAACATTTGTGTTGCGAAACTAAAACCTGTTGCGAAATTAAAACCTGTTGCGAAATTAAATTCGTGTTGCGAATTCGAAAATCTAGTTGCGAATTTGAAATTCAGTTACGAATTTGAAATTCAGTTACGAATTTGAAATTCAGTTGTGAATTTGAAATTCAGTTGCGAATTTGACTTTTGTGTTGCGAATTTGACTATCGCGTTGCGAATTTGACTTTTGTGTTGCGAATTTGGAAAATCGCAATGCGATTTATATATTCGCGTTGCAAAATTGGAAACTGGGTTGCGAAATTGGAGTTCACGTTGCGAATTTGTTGGTCATTTTGACAAATCCAAAAAAAATGGTTAAAATCATATATTATAAGGTATTTTCGGTCACTGAGGTTATTTTCTCTTTTGATAATCATGAGAAGAAAGGGTGAGTGTGTTTTTGGTATTTAAGGCATGGAGTTAAACTCGTGCTTAGTTATCAACATCACAAAAACGGATAAATCATCAAGTCATGTGTTAGGCAGTGAACTTTGAAAGAGAGGAAGAAAAACCAAAATGTAAACATTTAATAGGGCTTATATATGTCCAGTCTTCATGTAAAAAGGAGCTAGTAATAAATTAGAGCAGCTTCACAGTTTGAGGTAAGGGGATATAAGATATTTTTAGCCCTGCCTGCTTTGCCACTCAATGCTGGTGCAAGAAAATTAAACCCAGAATATTCTAATTCTGGGAAAAGTTAGGATATTATTAAATTATTAGGAAGATAAAATTTATGTGATATATAAACTGCAACTTCCATTTCGAATATATAATCCATTAAAAAGTATATGTTTTTCCTATATTTTAATTAATTTATACCCTTTAAAGTAGAAAAATAATGGTGTTGTGATGCTTTGAGCTTGAATAGTAACCATTTTGTTTTTCCCTGGCTCCTGGCTGGCTTGCTGCCACCTCTTTTTTTCATTCCCCCATTATAAAAGATACAGGAAAATGAGGTCCTTTCCTTCACTTTCTTTCTCTTTCTCTGTGCAAGGAAGAAAAGGTCTCTGATCCATCTCTGCTTCTTTAAATACATAACTTTCCCTTTTTACAAACTTTTCCTTCAAACCATCATCCCCAAAACAACTCTGATTACTTACTTTCTCTTCACCTGCAATTCTTTCTTTTTTTGTATAATCTGACTGTTTAATGGTTATAGTCTCTGCAACTTTTTTCCTTTTTCTATCAAACCTAGACGGATCCTATTAAAAAGCCTATATTTCTCTTCACTCGCTCCCTCCCTCTTCCAAGTTTCACACACACATCAACACACCATGCAACTTAATCATGAGGCGCTCATGATATAATCACACGACGCTTTCCTTCCCTTCCTTTTCGGTTCTCTTCGTTTGTTTAACTTCGAAGTTTTAAACCCACTTTTCCTGTCGATTTTCTTTTCCTTTTTTCTTGTTTTGGCAGTGTTTTACGTACGCTTCTCTTTCATTCATTCTCTCTATTTTAATCTATTGTCTCTGTTAAAACATCCTCCAGGGCCTTTTTGACTAAGATCTTCACCCTTCCCTTATGTTCATAAGCTCAAAGACCATAATGAGAACTGCACCTTTGCCTGATCTATCCTTGCAGATTAGCCCACCACCCGTTTCAGATTGTAAAGCTAAGGAAATGACTTACGATGTTTTATCAGGAAAATCAATCTATAGTGATAGGAGCTCGACGACTGATTCTGGGAATAGCGGAAGCGATTTGAGCCATGAAAATGAATACGGTAATCCAGATCTTGGAGTACCCACGTTGAGCTTAGGGTTTGAAATGGCAGATTTGTGTTCTCCCCATTTACAGCAACCAAGAAACCTTCATCATCATCAGCAGCAGCAGCCTTATCAGCCTCAAATCTATGGTCGTGATTTCAAGAGAAATTCAAGAATGATCAATGGAGCTGTGAAAAGAAGCATCAGAGCTCCCAGAATGAGATGGACTACAACACTCCATGCCCATTTTGTTCATGCAGTCCAGCTGCTTGGAGGCCATGAAAGTAATATATTTACTTATTTTCCATCCTTTTCGTTTAAGTGCAAAATACCGAAAATAGGAATCTTTACTGAAAAAAAAAGCATAACAAAGCTTACATATTTGTACTGGCAACTGTCACAGGAGCAACACCAAAATCAGTCTTAGAGTTGATGAATGTCAAGGATCTAACCCTAGCTCATGTGAAGAGTCACTTGCAGGTGGGGGTTACTGTGGGCAATCTTCGTTTCTTTGAACTTATGTAGTATATGATAATTCTTATTACTTTTATGATTTTTCCCCATAGTTGTTTTGGCATCTTTATCGTGTCCTATTTTTTGTATTTCTGTATGATTCAACTGTAGTAGGTGTGGACTGGGGAAACAAAGGGTAAGGACAAAAGGGCATCAAGAGTAATCTTAGCAATGTGGACTTTTTTCTCATTTTTTTCTCTATGGGTTTTCTGTGTTCATGCAGATGTATAGAACAGTGAAGAGCACTGACAAAGGACCAGGTAATTGGAATTTCCCGCTAAGAACCATTGTAATTTTTATTTCTCTTCTATTATTAGTTTCTCTTGGTTTTAGACCTAACTTTGTGACCAAGTATGACAGAAAGTTATATCATCTGATCCACTATCCCCAACTAAACCAGAACCCTTTGGATTTATTACAGTGTAGCTAAAATCTAAAACATGAATTATTTTGGTGGGTGTTTCAGGTCAAGGGAAGACAGACATGAGTTTGAACCAAAGGATGGGGATTGTTGATTTGGATGGAACACCATCTTCTGCAAAAGCTGATCCTAACGCTTCTTATTCTCTCAAACTATCAGCAACATCACCACAAACGGTACCACAAAGGACCCAAAGGTGATCCACCATATCTGCTGCATCTCCTCTTTCTGTTATTTTTAATTAGTTTCTTTATATCCGAAGCTGAATATAATGATCTTCTCTATTTTCTCAAAGCCAAAGTCATCGTACATGCACGCATATACACATATATTCTAGGCCATGGACAGCTTTGATCCAAGTGTTCGTCACTGTTTGTGAGGTAGATGAGGCCATTTTATTAGTCACAAGTGCATAGATTTTGATGAAGATCAGCTAGGATTTTTAGGCTACCTCGTGTTCCATTCCGAAAACAAATCCCATCCATTTCTACCTGTTAGATTTAGAAGTAATTCCCATTTCTTCTAAAGGCCTAAACATCCATGACCTTTCTACTTATTTATTAGTCTGGTAATAAATTAATTATATCTTTCTGTTTGCTGCCTCGTTTTGTTGACTTCCCGAACAATTTCTCAGTTATATACGTTTAAAAAAGAGTTGCATGCTTTCCACACGCTCTACATTATTTGGTAGAATCAATTGTATGATTATATCTGTAGTCTGATGATATAAGTCGAACAAACTGATATAAGCGTGCAATATTTTGGAGTTTCTTACAATTTTGTTGGTGGTGGTGTTTCATGCTTGTTTGTAGTGGTTCATGGCTACCCTTAACGGAGACACGTAATTTGAGCATATCAAACTATGGACACGGTTCGACTTTCGAGCCAAATAATGCTAAGGTATGATTGTATCACTAAAAACAAAACCCAACATGTTGAAACTCGAAAGTTCAATTTGCTATCATTGTGTTGATTATCAATCTTATGATTTTGGTTTTGTAATAGGTTGATGGAGACAAGGCAGCGCTTCATGTCTCGGATAGAATGAAGGAAAGATTAGATTCCTGCTCCTCGTCACCTTCAGACATGTTCCTTAACCTAGAGTTCACGCTCGGAAGGCCAACCTGGCAAATGGACTGCGCTGAATCTTCAAATGAGTTAGCTCTTCTCAAGTGTTAGACGCCATAGAACCGGCTAGTACTATATATGATATTTTTCCTGTAATTTGGGTACTGGAAATGCATGAACTATATATCTTGGTCTAAGTTGTTTAAATTTTGTCTGGAAAAGGGAAAGAAAATGCCTGTAGCCTTGTGAATGTTGTCGGATCGCCTTTGTTCCATGTAATTTTGATGGCATTGTGGCAAACAAAGAAGGAAAAACCAGAATTCTAAAATCAGCAACGATCTTGATATTTCTGGGCCAGAGTCTATAACGGGGCTAGGGCTCTGCAGACTTTCCAGGAGGGTCCCCAACAGTGAACAAGTGGGTCAATCCCCATTGCGAAATTAATATATTTGAGACAGTTTATGTCAATCAATTTCGCATTCGGTGCCCCTCTCTGAAACATTGAGCTGGGTATGGCCCCTACATCCCTCCATGACCATTGATATGATTGTAGCCAAGATTTGAATGCTAATGTCGCACAGGCCTTGGAAGCTTGAACGTACGATGTGTTTTGAGATGGGTCCAATCCACGTCTACTGGAAAACAATAATAACGACCCTATATATTTATTAAGTAGTAAGTACTCCAAAGAGATAATAATCCTTTGAGGACCCCATATTTTTCAGAGTGGTCGTCAGTCATGATTGTTCTTCATCTTCTTCAAATTACTATTCGAGCAGTGATGTTACATAAATTACCACTCCAGCACTATACTTCTGCAGAGAAGACGCTTAAGGGACCACCAACTTTGGCTGCTTCCTTCAATCCATTGTTGAAATCCAACCTATTACGGGTGCATTTGATTGGGGTAATTATTTATTATTAGGGTATTTTTCATAAAATTATTACTAATAATGTCAATTATTCATAGTAGTGGAAACGAATAATCACTAAAATTTTAGATCATATTGTTCTTAAGATTATATATATGTATATATCCCTTTTATTTCACGAATAAATAAAATTCTCTTACAATATTTTGATTGAATATTTAATAGTTAATAAATAATTTAATTTTAAAAAAAAGAACTCTTGTATATACATTAATAATATAGGGAGCATAGGTATTATGTACAAACTTACAAACATATGTCGGCAAAATAATAGAGCCAATTTGGTTGAGGCTCAATCTGAAGTCGATCAAATTTTGGTGTAAAGTTACCCTATAATAGTAAGTAGAGGTTAGATTGCATGATTTAGGAAAACAGTAAGGTTTGACAAAGGGATGGTAGTAATTATATCCAAAGATGAGAGAGTCATAAACGGAGGGCTACTGCCATCACGAAGAAAGCAAACGTATCCATTGTTGGTTGTCGTGTAATTTGCCCAGGCCCTTTGCTTCATCAGTGCAATGAAGAAATCGAAAACGAAATCTTGAACTTTTTCATTTGGATGTGTGGTGCACAGTCCCTATCAATCTTTTATTACCCAAAGACTTCAGTTCCTGCCCACCCATGCCTCTGCATTAATCAAAAATAAAAGCAAAAAACTGGAAATCAAAATTATTATGGGCCTTGTTCGCCATCATTAGGCCTTTTAAAGCTGTGGAGAGTGTTGAAATTGGGAACTGCTCCTTGTTTTCATCGATAATGATTGTATGGTTGTCTGTTCCGTGGAAATTGTGTCTGTCGAAAACGACACTAGAGCACCCAACTCCAACAACATCGAAAAATCCTGACAAAATCTTCTTCCTTCATTCAACTTTTCTTTACTTGTTCTCAACGAAATTTCCAGGCGGTACCGTTACAATTGAAAGATCCTTGGGACAGAATGAATACTTATGTTTTCCATTTCTTTCTTTGAAACTTCTTCTCTTGTCTTAGCTCCCTCTGCTTTTCTCAAATTCTCTTTTCCCAATGTATTCCATTCTTTTGGTACCAGACATACAGTCACCAAAGAAATCATTAAAATTTTTGTTGATTTAATCATTGGTATCTTTTTTTTTCAGTGGATTTCTGGTCCATATTTGGTATTATAAATATATAATAAATAGCTATTTTCTGTATCAAACATCCGGTCTCCAGATGAAGTATTTATGATCATATGCTAGTATTATTAACATTGGGGCATGTTTTTCTTCAAAACGAATGCCGCATATGAACAAGTTAATATTTGCTAATTGCATCAGTTTAATATAGATGAGAGATCCAATTCTCAATCTGTTCATTTACCAGAAAGCAAGCATGCTCTATGTTAACTTTTTACCACTTGTGTTTCATTGTTAAATTTACAGGTACTGTTTTAATTGTGCATTTGTACTTCTTGTCAATCAAGACCATGCATGTATTTCCAGCCGCTATCTCATCAACCTTGGTATATTATTTTTCTGTACGCATTGCTTTGCTGATGTCTGCAGATGGAGTGTTGATTTCATCAAGATTTTGAGCGAAGAGATGGTAGTATGGCTCAGAAAATTGAGAAATGGTAAAGTGGCAAGGTTCCTGCATTCATGTTTGGTAAGGAATGAATAGTGTCTGCCCCAGGAAGTACCCAAATAAGTGATTGATAAACTGAGGGCTGATCACATCATTCCAATGCTGTTCTTCATATTCAAAAATATATTTTGCATGCTGTTTTTCATATTAAATCACTTACTAAACATGAATCTTGACAAATCTTTTTCATCAACATCTTTGTTCATACCATAATCCTTATTTAAATCATAATTATCACCGTAATCCTGATCTTTATTTAAAAAATATTCCAAAAATATTAAAAATTATCTAAACAACTCTAGGTGGTTTCCTTCTAACTCGTCCACGTATAGTTTTCTTTTGGTCATTACAAAATAACGGTTAAACTACGACTTTCCTCCCTTATTATGATCAAATTTGGAATTTCTTCATCTAATTTGATTTCTCTGCTTTTATAATGCCAATGGTAAGTTCCAATAACTATATTAAAGGAATCCCGATAATAATATGACACTTGCACATTATTATTGGACGCTGATAATTTTTGTGACAAATTGAGATGGAAATGATAATTTAAGGGGTTTATTGAGAAAACATGATTGTTTAAGGATAAAACTAGGAAAAACATAGTTTAGGGTGTAAAGTGAAAAAGGAATATACTTCGATGGTTATATTATGAATTAAGCCTTAACTTTAACAGGCACGCTTTATGCAGGCTGTGCTGACGTTAGTCGTGGATATGGATTGAACAATGAATATATAAATAGAGACGAATTCTTTATCGGGACGTACTGAACAATGGATCTTTTTTTCCAATTAGCTGCCATTGCTGTCTTTCTCTCAATTTTCTTCCACAAAGTATTGCTTGGAAGGGAAAATGCAAGAAACAAGAGTAGAATGGCCCCAGAACCGCAAGGTGCGTTGCCAATTATCGGACACCTCCACCTATTGGGCGGCAGTAATCAGCTTCTCTACCGAACACTAGGAGCAATGGCTGATAAGCATGGACCTGCCTTTACAATCCGCCTAGGCAGTCGCCGTGCTTTTGTGGTTAGCAGCTGGGAAGTAGCAAAAGAATGCTTCACCATTAATGACAAAGCACTAGCTTCGCGTCCTACAACGGTAGCTGCGAAGCACATGGGATACAACTACGCTGTGTTTGGATTTGCACCTTACAGCCCCTTCTGGCGTGAGATGAGAAAAATTGCAACACTTGAACTTCTCTCGAACCGTAGGCTCGAGATGCTCAAGCACGTTCGCATTTCTGAAGTCGACATGGGAATGAGGGAACTATACAGTTTATGCTATAACAATAGCTCAAGTCCCATGCTTGTTGAACTCAAACAGTGGTTTGAAAACCTGACACTTAATGTAGTTGTACGAATGGTGGCCGGAAAATGTTATTTCGGTGCTTCCGCTGTCTGCGACGATGGCGAGGCAAGAAGGTGTCAAAAGGCAATAAGTCAGTTCTTCCATTTGATTGGCATTTTTGTTGTTTCGGATGCACTGCCGTTCCTTTGGTGGTTAGATATGCAGGGGCATGAGAAAGCAATGAAAAAGACTGCCAAGGAGTTGGATGATATACTTGAAGGCTGGCTAAAGGAACATCGTCAAAGAAGGATTTCCGGTGGAAACAAGCGTGAAGAGGACCAGGACTTTATTGATGTAATGTTGTCCCTTCAGGAGGAAGGTCAACTCTCGACTTTTCAGTTTGATGCAGATACGAGTATTAAGTCAACCTGCCTGGTATGTTGAATTTTGAAGAAACAGAATAAATCTGATTTCAGAGTTTGATTTTGATCACATTTGTTGGGTAAACAGTTTATAAGACTATTGCCTTATAGCTGATAAGCTAAACCCTTGTATCCTTATGAATTTTAATGTAGGCACTGATCCTTGGTGGCAGTGATACCACAGCAGGGACAATGACATGGGCCATATCGTTACTTTTGAAACATCGTGACATGTTAAGGAAGGCTCAAGAGGAACTAGACTTCCATGTAGGCCAAGAAAGGGCAGTCGATGACTCTGATATAAAAAATCTTGTGTATCTTCAAGCCATCATCAAAGAGACCCTACGCCTTTATCCAGCTGGTCCTCTATTAGGACCCCGGGAAGCCATGAATGATTGCACCATTGCCGGCTACCATGTCCCAGCCAACACTCGCTTGATCGTAAACGTGTGGAAAATTCAAAGAGATTCAAGAGTGTGGCCAGATCCATCTGCATTCATACCAGAAAGGTTTCTCACAAGCCATGCGGATACTGATGTTAGAGGCCAACAGTTTGAACTCATTCCATTTGGCTCGGGAAGACGTTCATGCCCTGGTGCATCATTTGCCCTACAAGTTCTTCATCTCACACTTGCTCGTTTTCTTCATGCATTTGAATTGACAACGCCTTCGAATCAACAGGTTGATATGACTGAGAGCCCTGGTTTAACCATTCCAAAAGCCACCCCACTGGACGTTCTACTTAAGCCGCGTCTCCCAGCTAATGTGTATGCATTAACATGAGCATCAATGACAATTAGCGATGTGATTTGAGTAAAATAAAAACAGCTAAAATGGAACCTTTCAGTTGATGTCACGATACGTTAATTGTGTTAAGATTTAATACTTTAGTTTTGAGTTCCGATCTTGCTTTTCATCTTCTGTAATGAAAGCCAGAACGATTATACTTGAAATGTATAATTACCGACTTGTGGTGTGGTATTTTGAATAAATAAAATTTATAAAGTAGGAATAAATGTCTTACCTATGATCTGACCAGGTAGTCTAGGCTCAACAAAAGTAAGCCGAAAGATGAGTGCTTTACCAAGAAATAATTTACGGCAAACATGAAGGCGTTGACAATAATATTCAAGTTCAATCTTATAATACCATTTCCCAGATCCCCAACCATTTGCCAAACTTGGTTCTAAAATCTTTTCAACCAAGAATATCCAAGCTATTATGGATTTTGATTTCCTCTTCCCTTACCTAAACAGTAACATTGCAGGAGTCTTTGCTATACTGATCCTCTCATTTTTCCTGGTAATTACTTGGTCTAGAAAGTCTTTGAACGCCTCGTTCAAAGATTGCTTAATTTATTTCGAATTTCAATTTAGAGTGATTTCCGAGATTTTGCTATTTTTGAAAAAATTCGGATAAAAACAGATTTTTGACTATAACAGTCCGACTTGTGGACTGATTTTCGCATTGTTTGATTTTATATTATTCAATTAAACTCTAGAAACTTTTTCTCTGGTTTTTGGGCGAATTTTATCGTGTGAATCATCTTCATGTATTAGCAGGATCCAAGCTTCCATACTTAGCAATGGGGGACTTAGCCGACAAGCATGTACCAATATTTTCCATCCGGATCGGCTTGCGCCCAGCCGTGGTAGACAGTATTTCCGAGTTGGCCAAGGAAATATTTACCAACTACGACGTAGCAGTGTCCTCGCGGCCTAAACTTACTTGCGGGAAACACATGGGCCATAATTATGCCAACTATGGTTTCTGCCCTTGTAATGCATACTGGCGTGAAATGCGCAAATTAACAGCCTCGGAGCCTTTATCAAACCGGAGACTTGAGCTTTTGAAATACATTAGAGCCTCTGAAGTGAAAAGCTCAGTGAAAGAGCTGTACAAGCTATGGGCCAATCAAAAGGTTGAGTCAACGTATGTTTTGGTTGAGATAAAGAAATGGGTCGGGGACTTGAATCTGAACGTGATTCTTCGGATGCTAGCAAGAGTTTTTTTGGTGCTGTCAAGGATAGCGATGAACAAGAGGCCATGCGATGCAGGAAGGCCATGAGGGAGTTCTTTTATTTCTCAGGGTTGTTTGTGGTATGGGATGCGATTCCTTTCCTTGGGTGGCTGGATTTGGGTGGCCATGAGAAGGCCATGAAGAAGACTGCAAAGGAATTGGATAGTATCATGGAAGAATGGTTAGAGGAGCATCGAAGGAAAAAAGAATCTTTTGAAGAGGAATCTAAAGGAGATCAAGACTTCATTGATGTGCTGCTCTCTGTTCTTGAGGGTTTGGATCTTTCAGGATATGACCCCCTGGTAAGAATTCTTCAACAAACACGAGGTTTAAAACATCAATTGCTAGGCTCGACCATGTTTTAATGGTATAACATGGTTTTGTTTTCTCTGTAGACTTTGCTTGTAGGGGGCACATATACCGTGATAGTGACAATAACTTGGACGCTGGCACTATTGATGAATAACCGCTATGTTTTGGAGAAGACTCAGGAGGAATTGGACACCCAGATTGGGAAGGGAAGACTAGTGAATGAGTCGGACATCAATAAGCTAGTGTATCTCCAAGCCATTGTAAAGGAATCACTACGCTTGTATCCTGCTGGAACACTCGCTGGTGCACGCGAATTCTCCGAAGACTGCACCGTAGGTGGTTACCTTATTCCCAAAAGGCACCCGATTGGTAGTAAACATTTGGAAAATGCAAAGGGATCCAGGACATTGATGTTAAGGGTCAGCTCATACCATTTGGTGCAGGTAGAAGATCGTGCCCGGGTATAAGCTTTGGCCTGCAAATGACTCACCTGGTCCTGGCCACCTTCCTCCATGGGTTCGACATTTTGAATCCATCGAATGAACCGGTTGACATGACTGGAAGTCCAGGACTAACAAACATCAAAGCCACCCCACTTGAAGTTCTCGTCAAGCCATGCTTATCTCCTAGTCTCTATCGATAATCATCTTCAATTGCAATAGATTTCCGTACTTTAGGTAAAGTTAATAATAAAAAAAATACTGAGATTTTTCTATGAAAAGACAAGGTAACCATGACAGCAATCGATTGAAGGTTTGCTTTCATAGAACAATCTGCTAAGCAGAGTCGTCTAGTGGCTGTGTTCTTTGAAATATCCTTATGTATGCTTGTTTAATTACTCCACTTGCTTTATTCGCATCTAGCATGTCTATACAGCCTTGTTTTTTGTTCATTGCAACTGTTTTGGTGACCAAAAGGATGAGAACATAAACTAAAGGACAATCCAACACGCTATTAACACTAAAATTCAATTGAAACTTTCTGGTTTATCTATTGGAGTTTAAGATCATCATGTGCTTGCTGACATCCTATTTACTTAAAAAAAGGCCATCTTTCTAATACAATGCCTTTTTCTTTATTACCCAAGAAAACTATAATTTACCAAGCCATGATCACAGCACTCATTTCATTTTGACCCGCAAGAAAACTATAATTCAACGAAAGTGTATCAATTGCTGCTTGGAAACTTTAATGGATGGTATTAAGATCTATTAACGTGTATCAATTGCTTGCAACCTCTTGTCTTGTTGTCAAACAACTTAATTATTCTTATAGAGACCAAATTGTTTGGAAACACGTTTCCTAGTTTAATTAGATATATCCAACTTTCTTTTATAGCTGTTTTATGATCTTATGATAATATTAGTTCTATTTTTTATTTAGGCAAATTCACAATTACTATGCAAATAATGTAATGTTGTTTCTAGAACATGTTATTAAATTTCTTTAAATGAAATTCCGATCTCATTGATAATACCTAATAGAATTTTTTCTCTCGAAATTTACAGACGATAATATCTATATTATAGATTTGTTATATTTTCAAAATAATTTATTTGAAATATTATACATTTATTATGGGAACAATTATCTCAATATAATTTGTTTTATTCATAATGTCATGACTTAAACTTTTGACATTACTTAAGGGATCTAGTGTCTTATCTTAGTAATCAATTAATTGTTAATATTATATAATTAAAATAAAATTATGTAAATATATGTTTAACACATGTCATTCAATATAAATATATGTTTAAGCATCGGTTGATTCATTGAGAGTTGAGGCCCGCTGCCCATCCTGAAATTCGAATTTTTTTCTATTAGTTTCTTATTTTATTGATGGTGGTCTCCTTGAAATTTTATTTGTGTCCATCCTAAAACCCGAATTTTCTTTGGTTGAATACCTATTTTACTGATGTTGTCCACCTTGAAATTTTATTTGCACGCACCCATTCAAAAATTGTGTTGCTAACATTTATGTGCCCATCCTAAAATATATTTATGGAATCAGTCACTATGTTTAAATAATATTTTACCCAATAAAAATTATATTATATAATTAAGAAAAGTTTAAAAAGGGACATAAAATTGTAGCTTGGCTCAACAAAAAGAGTTTAATTGAATAGCTAGATCTCACTTGCTCTGGTGAATACTCTATTCCACTGGTGTATTCAAGATTTTACCACCACTAAATAAATTAATCAACTGGCTAAGGCATCATCGTGGAATGATTCAAGGATTTTGGCATTTCTCCGTCATCGTCCTTAAAAAAGATAAATACATATATTTATATAGCGTGGTTTGTATTTTAATAATTATATTCTTAAAATGAGTAGAAATGTTTTTTTATACTAGAAAAATAAATAAAATGGTTATTTGATTATAACAATCGAAAGAAAAATATACTTATTTATGAGATGAAGTTAATGAATTGATTTGAAATATATTACACATTCATTAATTTTATTTTAATTTAAAATTTTAAAATAAATAAATATAATATGAGCGATTTCATATCCTATATGTTGAATAAATGAAACGAATTTGAACAAGGAAGGAATTCAGCTGTTGAGAGATGGTGATGCATTTTTAAGGATTTTGATCGATAGAACTTTTAGGAATTGGGGAACAAGTGAGAGACGCCAAGTAGAGGAGAGTTAAGGAGACGTGAAGGGTTTGGTTTTCATCGTTTGGATTTTAGAGGGGGGAAAACGTTGTGGTGCATGTTAATCATTTGGAATTATATCAACATGCCGAACATGTTACTTTATTTGTGTCGTCTGGTGCGACACATGATAACTAAGACGGTAAATAAGTTTATTCGAGTTTCAATATTATTGAATTTGATTTTATTCAAAAAGTTTAAATTTGAGTTCGAGTTGACTCGAAAGATTGCAAATTTAAAATTATCAAGTTCATCTCGAACTCGAAATCAAAAATTAAAAAAAGTTTAAATTCCAAATATTATTAGATTTAGCTCAGTTCAAACTCAAATATCAAGTTGTTCGCTTCGGTTTATTAAGAAATCGAGTTGAATTCGAACTCTAATCGAGTTCGTTACATTTAAATGTTGATCGAATCCAGTCCATTTAATTGTTGCAAACAATATTCGCAATTGTAATTAATTTAGTTGGGTACTCTTTTCTTCGTTGTAGAAGGGGTTTAATGAGTCCACCTAAAATTTTTAACAAAAAGAAAGTCAGACGTGATTACAAATGAAATGACAAGATTCGGCTAAAAAGCCAGTACACTAGATAGCAATTAAACGACAAATAATAGTCCCTCTCTATATGGCTTTTAAGTTGCAAGTTCAGCATGACTAGAAGCCATTCTCCTTCTATAACACATACGTAAATGCTTGCCACTTTAATATCTTCGATGAGCTGTTAGTCAATGGATTTTTTCCGGCCTTATCAGAGCACTTTTACGGCTGGGGTAGCAGCCGTTCTTCTTTTCTTCTATCTATTGGGATGGTCGAGAGTTTCCAAAAGAAAAAGAATGGCACCCCAAGCAGCAGACGCATGGCCCATTATAGGCCACCT